TCAGCATAATGTCCTCCAGTTTCATCCATGTTATGAGATGGTTCACAGATTCACTGTTGTTCTTTCTTGTTGTATAGTACTCCATTGTGAGATTTTTCCCTTTTGTTTTTTGGAGAACCACCTTTCAGTTTATTTGTTTTATTTGGCTTTATGATTAATATCTGGTCTTATTCCCTACTATATTTAGGTTTCATTTTTCTCTTATTTTTCTAGCTTTTTGAGATAGAAGCTCATGTCAGTCCCTGTCTTCTGTTATGTCCAATCTGCTTTTAAACCCATCCAATGAGGACTTAATTTCAGATATTGTGGTTTTTAAGTTCTAAAATGTGGTTATATGACTCCTATATTGAAATTCTCCATCTTTTCATCCATTTTGTTCATTTTTTCCTGCATTTTCTTAAACATACTTAAGAGAGTTTATATTAAATTTTCTATCTGGTAACTCCAACATCTGAATTATCTGTTGGTCTGCATCTAATATGTGTTTGTTTCTTGATTATTCATGCTTTTTTGACTCCTTTAATGTCTCAATTTTTTATTGTATGCAAGCATTGTGAATAAAAGGAAACATAGGGACAGAAGTTCAGGTTAATTTTTTCTTTGATGTATTCATTATTTTCTATGTAAGACTTGAGGGGCTGATCATCTTAATTCATTTGACAGTTGAGACTGGGCTTCAGTTGCAACTTTTAGATAGACCAGTCCACTTTTTGTTAAAATATCTCAAGGGTGAGACCAGTTGTGTGTTACAAGCACCTTCTTTAAATGAACCATTTTTTTTAGATTGTAAGGGGTTTTTCTCTGGCTTTTTGGCCTGGCTTCTTTCTTTTAGGCATGGCCCTATAAGGCTTTCTTTTGCAAGCCTGCCACATCCCTGCTTCCTCTTACCTGAATTTTCTCCTTTCTAGAAGGTTTGATCTCAGATCTTTGGCTTTCTGGTAAAACTGGCAGTGTGGCAAATGTCTTGAAGTCAGACTTGCTATATTTTTAGGCCTGTCATCTTGTGTGACTTAATATCTTCAGCACAGTGATAATGTGACATTACACTCTGCTTGTCTAGCTCAGCACCCTAGCACTGAGTAAATGATCTTTGGGGAAAATGAGCCCTGAGCTTAGGTCTTGTACATTACAGTGTATCACACACCAGCCCACACTGCCTTATCATCACTGATGATTATGTCCCATAGTAGAATATCTCCGCTTATGCCAGTATATTCCTGAGGGCCATATCCAGTCTCATTAAATGCCCAAAAGGAAGAAAACTTGGTTCGGTCTTAACTCTCCTAGGGATGGCTGATTCTTCTCTGGAATTTTACCTCATTTGAGTGTTCAAAAAATAGGGTTTTTGAATTTCAATTTTTAAAAATTATGGTGGAAGTGATAGTTTTCTACTAACTACTACATCCAGTAGTGGAAATTGTTTTTTAGACTACCTATCTGTACTCTTGGTTTATTTCTTCCCTATCTTTGCTTTTCTGCTTATGCCCTCTCTTTTGCAATATCAGTTTCAATCAAGGTAGAATCCTTTTAAAATAAATTGCTTTTCTTCCCTATCATTGTAAATCTCTGTACAGAACAAAAGTCATCAAGGATATCTTTTTACATTCTTTCTTGTTTCTTTTGTTTAATATTTCCTCCATATGTATTGTAATTAAAAAAAAAATCCACATGAAACTTAACTACAATTTGACATCTTTATCCCACTGTTTTCCAAAGGAGCTAAAAATTTTGTTCCAGTATATTTTAAACTGGATTGTTATTAGGTGCCGTGGAGTTGGTTCCCACTCATAGACTTGTTGCTGTTAGGTGCTGACAAGTCGGTTCCAACTCATAGCAACCCTATACATAACAATAAAACACTGCCTGGTCCTGTGCCATCCTCACAATTGTTGCTATGCTTGAGCCCAGTATTGCAGCCACTGTGTCAATCCATCTTCTTGAGGATCTTCCTCTTTTTCACTGACCCTGTACTTACCAAGCATGATGTCCTTCTCCAGGTACTGGTCCTCCTGACAGCATGTCCAAAACATATAAGACATAGTCTCGCTATTCTTGCTTACAACTGTCAGAAAAATTCTGCATATAAGAAACTCAGGTAAAGTTATGAATATGGTATAACTTATGGCAGGGCTTTTAGCAGTTGTGTGAGGAGACACAAGAGTTTGCATGTTTTACAAACTCCAGATGATGCCTATCCTGCTGGTTCAGGGACTAAAGGATTCAAGGGTCTAAAGCAAGCAGTACTTCTCAAACGAATATGCATTCATATCACCTGTAGATCTCTTTAGATCTATGTTTTCTAGTTTCTGTTTTTGGTGGGAATGTAAAGTGGTGCAGCCATTTTGGAAAACAGGCTGGTAATTCATCAAATGGTTAAACATTAAGTTACCATATGACCCATAAATTCCACTCCTCAATATCTACCTAAGAGAATTGAAAACATGTTCACACAAAAACTTGTACATGAATGTTCATAGCAGCGGGATTCATAATGCCCCCAAAATGGAGAACCTAATGTACATCAGTTCATGAATAGATAAAATGTGATATATT